GGGGGGGGGGGGAGAGAAAGGGAGATAGATACGTGGACTAGAGATTGGCTCCGGAGAGCGAGAACACGTTGGGGCGGGCGACGGACGGAGGGAAGTAGAGAAACGCATTGTCTCAACGGCTCGATGACGATCGCGGCAACGTACGTACGTCCGCGCCGCTGCCGCCGCGGCGCGCTACACATTGTTACGTCAGTGAATTGTCGTCATCCCGTCGTCGTCTCCTGGTCCCGACGGGGATCGCGCTGCTGGATGACAGTCGCGCGTACCGGCGGCGATAATATCTCCGCCACGTCGATTAGACGAAGCCACGGTCAGCGGCGACGAGCAACGGACGACGTCGAGAGAGAGAGAGAGGGACAGGGAAGGAACATATACTCTCTTGTCGTGCTCCGGAGGGAAAGAGAGAGAGAGAGAGAGAGAATTCCGCTCGGAGAGTTCTTCCGGCGCTCTCTCCCGCCCGGCAGCCGGTACGTGCTGGAAGCATGAGGCCTCGCGCAATCGGGGAAGAGAGAGCATTGTCCCTCTCGCCGCTGCGAGCCTCTCTAGGCCCGTCGAGGATCGGGGCTACGTGACAACGAGCGTCTTCGAGATAGCATCGTCACGACGATTATAGGCGGGACAGGCAGGCGCGTGTAACACGGACGTCGGCCGAAGTATCGTATACGCGGAGAGTATACGGCGCGCGATGGCCCTCGCTCGTGCTGCGGACTGCGCGAAAACGCCGAGTGGCGCTGGTTCTTTTTGCGGTTTCGCTCTTTCGGTCAGCTCGCAGCGCTGAGCTCCTCGGATCCTCTCGGGGGAAGTCGCGAAAGGTTGTCAGAGCGCGTGACACTCTGAGCGGGTAGCGCGGGGATGAAAAATAGCTGCTTGCTCAGCGGAACAAAGCGATCTCTCTCCGCTGCCATCAGGTCGATGCAAAAGTTCGTTCCGTTTCTTGATCAGTTTCTCAATCAGTTCTTCGCTCAGAATTTCTAAGGGGGCGGTATCATACAGCTCTCGGAGAGATGGCGGGTCATCGGAGGAAACGGCGCACACTGAAAATTGATCGATTTCGTCGGCAAATCGATGAACGTAATTTTGTTTAAGAAACGGAACGAACTTTCGCATCCATACCAATACAAGCGAGTTTTCGGCCGGTTTCTAGGCAAACGGAAAATTCAGTTGCACCGACGGAATAATCGATCAAAGCCTCACACTCAAGTGCACACGAAACTACGATAAGTGTAGTAAACTTGAGCCTTTTGCTCTAAGCAATAAAATGTAACGTAATATCTGACAAGAGTTCTCGGCTTTCGAAAGTCGCTGAGACGGAATGTAGCGCGATCGAGCGGTGGTAAATGTTGGGTCTTACCTGTGGTGAAGAGGACGATAGCCTTGAGACAGCTGTACTCCGCGGTGTCGACGTGGAGCGCCTTGAGCTTCTCCACTTGCTCCTGGAAGATCCTGATGTGGTCCATGAAGGCGACCACGCGGTCCGCCGCCATCGGGGTGGCGTGCAGGCCCGCCGCCGCGATCAGCGGCGCCACGTGGAGCGGCATCGAGCACTGGCTCGCGTTCAGGACGAACAGCTCGCTCCACACTAGCCTGAGCAGGGCGACCTGGTCCGTCACCTGGAGTTCCGGGAAAAACGGGATGTTGCGGGCCCACTCGACCGCCGAGAAGAGCAACCTCGCCGCGAGTTCGCACATATTGTCGATGCCCATGATGTTGCTGCTGGGCTGTATGCACTGGCCGTATCTCGTGGTCGGGTAAGGTTCCGCCCTGAGGAGCAGGCTTATGTACGACGAGAGGTAAGAGTGTCCGTTTAGGTTGGCACACGCGACCGCGTCTCCGTTCGCGAGGGCGAACTGGCTCGGCAGACCCGACAGCGGAGGTTGCGACGGCGGCACCCGCCCCCTCTGCACGGCTGAAACAAGAGCGAACGCGTCGGAAACGCTTGATAACGCTTGACAGACTGGTCTTCACCTAATGCTGTGATCTCGCTGTCGCGTCACACGTCCTCGCCCGTGGTCGCCCGGATCCGTAGAGGTCCGGCTCGAACGAGCAGCGGCGGATCAGGACGGCCGAGTCGGCGTAAGATCGACCGATCGAGCGAGCGAGCGGAATTTCCGCGCGAATCTTGCCGCGAGTGCTACAAGTGTCGCGAACGGAAGAGTTTGCAAAATATGGAATTCTCTCCGCTCGATGATCGAGGCGTGCTTGTCAAAATACGCACTAAGAGAAATCGAGCAGGGAATTTCTCATCAAACGGAGCGGTAAGAATATCAAATTGAGTCTGTAGGATTATCGTGATATTTATCTTTCTATCGCTTGTATATGAATTATTGAATTTACGTGAACACACATACAATAATCTATGCTAATTGAAAAAAAATGTGGATTACAAATAAGTTAATATTGGCTGTCACGTTAGTTTTTCACAACAGATTAACTGATGATTAGATTACATGGTAGATAGATTGGATCATCAGAGATATGGTGAATAGATGCAACTCGGGGCACATGTTTCACACTCTTTCATCATTAGATTGCTCTTTAACGAAACGAACTATAATATTCGCGAAACGCTGCGGACAAATTCACGAAAAATACGACTCCTATCCGGAAGGCATGTCTCCATACGGCGAAAGTCTCAAGTATCGAACGTTTCGCTCGATTTCATCGGCTTTCTATTGGTCGTCCACACGGAAAAAAAGAATCAGCTGCCCATATAATACCGTTGAAATTTCGTTACTAGACCTAATTTTTAGCTGTCGGAACTAGAAAGTAGATACAGGGACAAAAAGTATTAGCTGAATTAATTCAATTTCAGTTGTGTCACGCGGACAGCTAATTTTTATCAGTGGAAGCTGCTTTTTAGCTGTGGAAGCTAATTCTGGTTTTTTTTCGTACAGCCAATCTTCACACTCGATACGAAATCGTAAAGAGATGCGATAATATCGCAGCACCGGCCAACGATGACCATTATAGCACTCGCCATGCTAATTACGTGATTTCGCACCTTCCTCGGTCTATTTTTCCCTTCGCATCCTCTCCCACGATTTTCAGATCCGCTTTCACGACACGCTTTATAACGCCGACGTGCCCCAGTTTGCGTCATTCGGCCCGAATTCCCTCGAGGATCTCTCGAGGATTTCGAGGCTCGCTCGCGAGTATTTTGGCAAGTTCGCACGCGGACTTATCTACGCAGTCACGCGTCATCGAGTTCGCGACTCCGGCGGCGGAGAGAAACGGGCGCTCTCCCCGGTCGAAATGTATTTCTGCCGTATCTAGGTAACGGTTAACCGATTCCCAAGCGCGCGAACACACACGCTCGTTGACTCCCATAAATACGTATCGACTGGTTACATCGGATTGCGATGAGTGACGTGGACGTGAATCGCGGGGAGACGTGAATCGGACAGGCGCACTTAACGATAATGTACGCGCATCTCCGGACGCCTCTTCTCGGCGAAAGGGCGGCCGAAAGTTCGGCCCGCCAAAAACACGACGGTCGGCTTGCGTCACGCTTGTCTATACGCCGCCGGTGTAAATTTCTACGTCGCCCTGGGCAACCGTCCTCGACAGGCGTGACGTAACAAGCGGGTCTTCTTCTCTTCGGACAGCGCTCGCACGCCGACCACCGTGTAGTTAACGGTCCGTTTTACCCAGGGCGTTCGAGTGTCCGCGCCTCGCGGCTCCGAGGATACATAACGCACTCTCGTTATACCACGGCGATCGGTACATTCGCTATTTCCAAGAAGTCACCGTCGACGACGACGAGGACTACGAGCAGAAGGAGAAGGAAGAGGAGGCACGACACCTGTGCCGGAACCCGGACGAGCCGCGACGGTCACGCGCAGGCACACTCTCTCGAGTGCCTGTAAATATTGTGCAAAGGCAAACACGCGGTGCCATAACGCGGCTCGTTCAAGTACACGCAAACACGGCCGATCGCTCGAGGGACGCGATTCGCGATCGGGACGGCGAATTTCGCCGAAAGCCGTGTAGGAGGTGTTCCGGTTCATCGACCGGCCATCGTCGTCGTCGTCATTATCATCATCATCATCATCATTACGAACATCATCATCATCATATCATTGAGGTTAATGCCCGTTGCAATTCTCAAGCGACGTACTGTTTTGTCTCACCCTTTTTTGCGCGGCGCGCGCTATTAAGGGGATTTGTAATTTCGCCACATTGCGCGTCGCTATCTCTCTTTTTTTTTTTTTATCGTTGCCTCAGAAGAGAGAGGGAGGGAAACAGCGGCGATGACTTCCTGCGACGACGGACTGCTCGGATCCCGACGGATACCGCGCGTCGCAGCTTTCCGTGCGCGATCATGCGAGATGTCCCGCGAACCGTTACGTACTTATAAACGCGCGCCTCTGCCGCATTCTTCGGGCGCGATTACCGCGATTATTGCCGGGCCGCGCATTTTTGCCGCGAGCGAACGCGGATTACACGCGGACGGACGCGACGCGATTACTCTCCTCCGTTGAGTAACGACCGCGTGAGCGCGCGCGCGACCGTTCTCGCGCGATTGTCCACTGTGAGCGAGCGAGCGCGATTGCGCTCGTCTGCGTAACGCAATTACTTCGCGTTACTCGAGTGTGCTTTCACTCGCGATAATTGGCAAATGACGGGGCAACGCGTGCGCGTGACAATGCTGAAAATGAGGCGGCCGGAACGAGCTGCCGGCGCGCGAGTCTTCGTAAATCTGCGCCTCGGCTCTCCTCGCGCGCGCGCACGTGTTCAAGTAGATAACGTCGCCGGTAAATTATTTGAACGCGTGGACGACGAATGCCGCGAATTCCCGCCGAGAGACTGGATTTAATAATAGCAAATATCTTTCTCCGTTTGATGATAATGTAGTAATAATTCAATTATTAATTTAATAATAATTCAATTATAATATGACAATAATTAAAAAATCATATTTTCGTAACGATTTATTATTAATTCAAATTAATACAAGAAGATATTTTTTAAATCATTACTATAATTTAATTATTATAGATTAAATACGAATAATATAATTTAAATTTAATATAAGCTAATGATATTTATCTTCTCCCCTTTTGATTAAATAAATAAATGAATAAAATTATCGACAGGTTGTAATTTAGAGCGGGAATTTCGCAGGTATTCGTCCGCATCTGCGGAACGCTTCATCGCGCGCTTTTTCCATCGATAAGCGGACGCTTGAGTTATTTACGATGTTTTCCTTCATCTGTTTCTTACGGTATTTATTATTATTATTATTATTTTCACGAATCTCGACGCGACATTGCGGCAAAATCGCGAGGCAGACAACTTGCAAAAAAATCGCGAGCACTCGATGTCTCGAGGATCGCGCGCGGAGCACCGACGACGCTCTGGAGGACACTCGATCCTCGGAACGCGGAACCGAGAGGCAACGTCGAGATGGGACTCGAAGCCCCCAGCCGAAAGGGAACACCGTCTAGGACGTACCCCGGCAAATTGCGACTCGCAAATAACAACGCGTGGGCGTACATAGAAGGTGCACCGATGCAGCTCGCGCGCTCGTGTTCTCCGGAGAGATAGCCGCTCTCGACAGAGCGCGACAGAGGGAGAGAGAGAGAAAGGGAGGGAGGGGGAGGGAGTGAGATAGACGAAGAACTCGCTCTAGCTCGCGAAACACACCGGCGGTGGTTCGGGAGAGATGGTGGTGCGTTAAAAGCGAAACGGACGGGGAGGGGCGACGGCAGTGGAAGAAGAAGAAGACGAAGAAGGAGCAGAAGAAGAAGAGGACGAAGAGCGGGAGGAAGGGAGCGGAACCGAGCGATGTGCCAGGAAGGGAGTCTTTCACGTACGAGATTCTCCCGCTCGGGAGAGTCGAGACTCGAAGAAACGGCGTCCCGCTGAGAAGCGCCTGGATTCCAACCTCCACCCCGCGGCTAACGAAGGTACGGGCTCTCTCTCTCTCTCTCTCTCTCCTCTACTCTCGTCTTGGTCCCGCTCTTCCCCCGCTTCCTAACTTTCCGAGTATTCCTCGCGAGGAGAGGAGGTTCCAGACGGGAGAGTCTCGTCGTGTCCCCCGGAACTAAGGAGGGGGGGGGGGGGGGGGG